GTGTTCCATCCCAACCTGCTCTTGCAAGAAAAGCTTTTCTATAGGCTTCCAGCATGGCTTAATTCCTACTCGAACTCAGATACCCCTAGAAATTTCAGCGGTTGCAAATGGCCCGCTGTGAAATTGCCAGACCGTTACGGCCCGGATAATATCAAGCTTGAGTGGCAAACACTTGCAGTTGATTGGATGGAGAAGTTTGACCACGTGGTAGCTGTTTTTTTTCTAAATGGCCAGGAGTTTCCGTTTCGAGCGCAACTGTTTTTCCTAAACTCTTCAAGCACGTTGATTTAGATCACCCACCGGCCGGTTCACTGGTTCACCGGCCGAGGGAGGCTCGAGTTTGCAAAGAAGGGGCACTTCGCGCTACAAGTCCGAAAACCGCCTAGCTTGGTGCGCCATTCTTGCAACGCATGCCATTAATTTCATTTGCAGCCGAAAGGCGTGCCGAGCGAATGCCAAATTAGCTGCGACAGCCCCGATGACCCTGTGGCAATCGCCCAGAAGATTTTCGGAGAGCTAGCGCATGGCTACTTTGTCTCTGTAACGAATGGAACGGTTTGTTGTTTCTTGACTTGGCCGCCTCTAAATTGGATCTTTAGCCGAGGCGGACCTTTGACGAGGAACAACTGAAGACCTTGTTTCGCCATGCTCGAGATGTCGTCGGTGAGCATCATGGTGTGGCTCGCGTCACTGGAGCGGCCTGGATCATCGGGGATATACATGGAGATGTAGGTTCCTCAGCTTTTATACGGTGTCCCAAGCAAAAAACATCGCCCGACGAAGAAGTATCGGGTCGAAATGGTAGTTATTTCATGCGCAAGCCCTTGACGCGGCGAGTTTGCATCATGATATCAAGCATCAATACCATGTTTTTTTTTCACCCCGCTATTTTCCAAGCCATTTTGTAAAATTTAGCTTGCTTTTTTTCTGAGTTGCCTACGAACTAGTTTGCTTTCGATTTCTCCAAGAAAAATGACCGGAAGTGGCGGTCAATTAAATCTAGAAGCAGTTTCTTAAGATTTTTAAATGTGTTATAAAATAGCGCGTTTATATAAGAACATTGATGCAAACCGCCGTTTCAAGGACTTTCGCTTGGTATGACTACAGGGTGTCCAAAAAAATTGTTCCGGACTTTGGGCTCGAATAACTTTTGATAGAAGAATATTTCACCATGCGTTACCATGCCAGAATGCTTAAAAGTGTCTGGAACTCCGATTCAGATCAACTTGATTTTTTCGATTTTTGAGTACGCAACTGTACTATTGACGCTGGTTACGACCGAAAATTGTGCGTTCTCGATTGGGTGGTGGGAAAATTCTGATTTTTGGCCTAAAAATAGCTGATATTTATAGAAAGTTAATCCCCAAATCTTAGAATTTTTGAAGCTCTAGTTCTTCTTTTACAAGCAAAACAAATTTCACTATTTTGCATCTTTTTTCCTTTTAATTCGCAACTCGCTTCAAATACGCTGCCCATGGCTGATCTTTTGCAGATGATGTCTCCGAATGATAATCTTTAGCACAACACCAACTTTTACCTGATTCTATGGTATTTTAATATTGCTTGCTAAAACGTGCCCCAGAGGGATACTGTAGTTTTGGTTTTTCGCGTTTTTCTTTTTATCGTAAGCTGCGATTTTTCTTAAAATTTTTTCATTGGTAAACGCTAGTAAGGTTCACCTATGGGCCAAATATCGCGAAGTTCTAGCCACACACATTCCCAAATTCTGCAAAAAACTTATTTTTGCATTTAGCCACGGAAATGTCTAAATATTTTGATGCATCGGACTAAAAACTACTATTATTTGTTTTCCTCGAAGATCGAAACGTTTCTATGGTGAAAAGAACGAGAAAACGGCGATTTTCTGTTTTCTACCGTAACCCGCCTGGAGCGCGTTTTAGCATGCCAAGACAAAATGCCATAAAATGCCGATTTTTCTATTCTAGAATGTTCTCTGAGTAATTATAAGGAAGCAGGCGAAAAATTTCTTACTTTCTGTGGTAAATGACAAAGTTATGAGGGAAAGAGAAAAACCCTCCCCGAGGCCCCGGGCCGAAAATCGAATTTTTGAAAGTGAAATGGTCACCGGATTTTCGTGGATATAATTAAAGCACGCATCGAACTGTGTATGAGAACAGGATTCTGGAATGATCTGACTAAAGTTAATGGTTAATTTTGATTTAAAACCCGAAAATAACGTTTTTGAAAAGTCAACTTTGGGGAGCTCTTCTAAATTTGTTAGCCATGAAAAAGTTTTGTATTTGCATGGGTTCTAGTTGACTACTCAAGCTTGGTCTATGCCAGAAAACTCGGGGCTACTAAAGCCTCGAGAATTTTTTTACAACGCCTCGACTTCGGGTATATTTGGACTCTTCATGAATTTCTTTTGAGAGATCGGATGGCCCAATAAATTTGTAAATATAATTTTAGTATGCGCCCATTAAGTAGTATTAAATAAAATTATGACAATAATTCTAGCCGCGCAATTGAATTTTATAAACTGGCGCGAAGGTCTGCGAAATAGCACGAACCAACCGTTTTCGAGGGGCTAAAAAACACCCTTCCAAAGGGGTACGGTAGCTAGAAATTGTCTACATAATAGATGGGCCCCAGTCCTACAAAACCAAGGAAAGAAAACAGCTAGGTTCTATTTACAATCTTAGAAATATTTCTTGAAAGTGCGGTTTCGTGACCTTGAAAAAATCCATGACCAGGGGGTCGTTGAAAAACTCGAAAAATCACCGATCTCAAAAAATTCTTTGATATTTTTGTGGGACTGTATCGAGCCTATAGACATGCTAAAACAGCTTATTTTCAGGTTTCCACCATAGGTTTTTGTAATATTCGAAATTTACGAAATTTCTCCATACTAAACTTCAGTCCGCTAGACTTTTCAACCAGACCTTTGAAAAATCTTAAATTTTGCATGTATCTATGTAATGCCTACAAGAATTTACACAGCAAAAATTAGAAACCCCCCGCCACCGGCGGCTGAGAAAAATACAAATTAAACTTCCCCGAACGCACAGTTTTCGGGTGTCATTTGTATTGATACGTCGCCAAAAATCGAAAAAATCAAGTTGATCTAAATCGGAGTTCCAGACACTTTTAAGCATTCTGGCATGGTAACGCATGGTGAAATATTCTTCTATCAAAAGTTATTCGAGCTCAAAGTCCGGAACAATTTTTTTGGACACCCTGTATCATTACAATCCAATGCTTCTGCTTCAATTTAGAGGGGTTTTTTTACTGGGCAAGCCTGTAAATGAAGCTTGAAGTCGACCAGGGACTTTCTGGTTCCTTTGCAACGGTTTTTGGTTTTCTGTCTATGCATACCCTTGGCAATTATATATTGTATTTTATAGTTAAAGAGCTATTTATATCTAAAGACCGTGTCAAATAAAATAAAAAGACTCTATGTTTCGTTTTCGAATTGCTGGGGAAAATTTGGTTTCCCCCGCAAAACGGGAAGAACGGACTTTCAGTCTTGTTTTATTTGGAGCTGTTTCACGGTTACAGTTCAACACCCTCGTGCGTGTATTTGCCGCCTACACGGAGAAGGCATCACCAGGACAAAAGTGAGCTGTTGCTCGCCAGTTACTTGGGCTTTGCTTTGTAGAACATTGTGCCCATCAACTTTCTAGAATGCTGTTCCTGGGCGATATCGTCGATCGCGGCAAACGTCAACTGATGTCGCTCTTGCTGATAGTCTCTGCAATGGTGCTCTATCCTGAACAGGTACGTTATAAAGCCTTCGGAACTACTTCGACGCGAACCAGTAGAGCATCTAAAACATACGAATGGTTTCAATTACAATCAACTATAATAATTTTGCTGTGGTGTCCGTCTGTCTGTGCGTCGTGTCCCAGATTCAACTCGAAGGGGAAAAGAGCTAGAACTTAGCTCTCTTCGGATTCGGATAGAGCGTGGTCAGAAACCCCCAAACTGATAAAAAAATTATGAAAAACTTTTAGTTTAAATTATTAAAATTAGCTTTTAAAGTTTTTTCCTTAGTAAAAGGGGTGGGATATGGAGGAGTGAGCCAGGTGGCGCGCGTTTCGGCTAGGGGAAGGAGCGCAGGGGTAGCCCGAAGTCCAGCTGGTTCAATAGAATGATTTTCGGAACTATTGTTGGGGTAGGGGGGGGCAAATTCTCTTTAGGCCGCGGCTTAGGCTTAGATCTGGCTTAAACTTTGCATAGGCTTAGCTCAGACGGTGCTTGGGTCCGGGCTTAGCTTCCCCAGGCTTAGCTTAGGCTGGGTTTAGGCTTACATTTTATTATTTATTTTCATTTTTCGATTTTTTTTTGCCTTTAATGGCTAACCATTAGGGATTTCGGGCTATTACTAGTAACATTCTGGACGTACAAAAATCTCTGGCAAAAAGCAAAAACAAAAAATCATGAGCGGATTCGAACCCTCGTTACAACCCTATTAAGCGAGTCCCTTACCACTCGGCCATTCAACTGGTGATTCCATAGTGATGGGAGAGCCTCATAAACCATCCTTCTATGCAAATTTTTTGCATGTAAATGAGCATTTTCCGGAAGTGCTGTATCTCTGTCCACAGGTCTATTTAGAAAAATCTGACAAGCGCATCGTGATCGCAATGGTCGATTACCCGGGGGTAGCCGCGAGCGTTTTCCGAAATTCCACCATGTCTCCGCGAGGTTCCCTTGTTAGGCTACGCTTGGGGGGGGTCGCTTAGGTTTGGAAATCCTCCGAGTTTGCTATAGACTAAAAGGGTTTGCCCCGGCCCTCCCTCCCTAACCACAAAACTAAAACGGGGTTATTATTTCGGCAATGAATAACGCTCGAAAGTATTCTTCGATTTCAGATCTTCTATGTCTCTGGCAACCACGAGTTGCCAGAGATCCATCTGAGGTATGGTTTCTGCCACCAGCTCATGGACGAGGGATACACCGAATCATGTTGCAAAGAAATCCGCGCGTTTTTCTCCTGTCTGCCGCTGTTTGCCCTGGTCGACAACCGCATCCTGGCCATGCACGGCGGGATTGGTGAGTGTTCTTACTTGCCCTTGCCGGCCCTACATGCTCGGCTGCCGGAAGCCGAGATTTTCGCTACACACACTGCATTTGGTCGCACGCCATACATTTCCTCCGTTGATTTTAGGTCCCGAGCTGACGCGCCGGTTGGCTCGCGACGGTTTCGAGCCTGACGACGATAGCTACGACGATTTGCGTACGGCTCTCCTCTGGAGCGACCCCAATCATCAGATCAAAGGGTGGGAGAATGGATACTTTCGATCGGAGGGGAGCCAAATTTTTTTTCTTATCGTTATGACCTCATTTTTCAGATATAAATAGGGGAGGTGTTTCTAAATGGTTTTTTACTATTCCTAAACGTGAAAACTACAAAATTTTATTAAACACTTGTAAAAATATAGATTTTTTGGCGAGATTGTATGGAAAGGGGCGAGCGACGCAGAGAAAAATGTCTGCGCTCTCTCCCTCTGCCCACTTTTTCTATCCGGCTGTACCGGCTGTACTTTAATAATTGCCGATTTTTCGACCAAAAAGGGCCCTATTTTGACCATTTTTAGTTTAGGTAAACTAGTTATTCAGCGAGGAATGCGGCACAGCGTAGGTTTTGTCCCATTTGGAAACGCGCTACTCAGTAAAAAAAAGCCTCCCTATCAAACAAGCCTCCCACAAGCCGTTAAAAATTAAACACAGCTCGATTTTTAGCTATGCGTTGAACCACCGTCGTGGCAAGGGCTATTATTATGGTGGTGAAGCCATCGCCACAATCCGTCAAGACTTGGGTATCGACTTCATCGTTCGTGCGCACCAGGTCGATTTTCTCGGGCTTGGCGTCGTTTGGACAGTACAGAACAGAAAGAATAGTGATTTTTCATGGGAATGCTTTTAAGCATCTTAGAAGACGTCTGAAACGCGAAAGCCCAGAATCTTTATCCATTATCTGAATCTTTATCGTCATGATCTTAGTTCAACGCGAATTATGGCAAATTTTGTAACACTCTGTTCGAAAAACATGCGGAACGAGCCGCCGATATATCGGGTTTTTTCAAGATATAATTTTTGCTATTAAAATTAAGTTTTTGCGAAAATTTCGGTCCAGGCGAGACAACCATTGACGATTGACATCCCTTAATTATTTTTTAGGTTAACTGAGGGGGGAGGCGTAAGGATGGCCGAGCTTAGGAGCGCGTGAATGACGCGGGGAGCAAAAGAAACAAAGCAGAAGACCTCTTTGCAATGCATTAATTTAGGAGATGGACACCGGCGTGCGGTTCTTTGAGGATTGGCTAATTTCCGTCTACACGACGTCATGGCGCGCTCCACAGCCTGCCACTCCAGAAGCGAGACAAAAACAAAATGAAAGCGAAGATCTGTCGAAAGAAGTTTCACCTGAGGCCACAAAACATCGGAGGGACATTATCGAGGCGATGGAGGAGGAGGGGGTGCGTTTGGATTTTGGGATCACCCAAAAATTGCCCGCGCGCTTTTGGGTTCGCAATTCAGTGGCTAACAATGGATCGACAGATTTTTTCTTATGATCCAATTATTCTAATAAAAGAGCGGAATCGTTTCTGAGCTGTAAAAAACTTACAAAGTATCGATTTTTCGACCAAAAAGGCTAAATTTTTAGCCAAGTTCCGATTTTTTCAAATTTTTGAAAGTTTCAAGAGAGTTTTTCTAGCTGAAATATGGTTATATTTTACCAAAGCACTACAAAAATATATCCTCTTAAGTGACTAGACATTTCTATCCTTATACAAAGATTTCGTTACCGGTTTTCGGAGGCTCTAGACACTCGCGGGCTTTCAGCAGATTGGCGGCGTTTTGGTCTATGATGGCATCAAGTTCACCATGATCCACTTCATTCCAGTCAACAATAAGCCCTACCAGAGTATGTGACTTCAGTTTCCTAAGTTTCCGTCTGTTCACCTCTCGGTAGCATCGTTACTAGTTCTCCGCCCCAGATTTTTTTTGATTTTGAACAATCTACTAATCCAGTATCCGATAATTCTAGATACAGGGTGTCCCAAAAAAAGCACGTCCTCTAGCGGCGGGCAGTCGTGTCCGATTTTTACTAGCAACATGGAGGGCTCACTTCCTTTATGATCTATTTTTATTACTGAATTTTACGTCCAAAAACCATGTAAAACGGCAGATTAAAGGGTTGCCGACGGCATGTGTCGATCCCCCCTCATCAACAAATTGGCAAGTAGCCAACAGGGGAGAGAGCACGCCCAGGGGAGAGGCGTAAAGACATTTTCTTTTCCGCGCGTAATCGATTGACTATGCCGTCGGCATCCCTTTAACGCGTGATATGCTTGCTAATTGCGAAGTTCCTCTTGGAAAGCTACCTGGTTTTTTAGAAAAACGTTGAATATCGGGCGAATGATACTAACTCTTAGAGAACGAAGCCCGCTTGATTCTCGCCTTTTCGAGAGCGTTCGAATGATATAAAAAAATATCCCGATCTGAGCTTCCACGGGGCCGCTAGACGGGGGTGGTTTTTTTTCTGGGACACCCAGTAGACCTTTATTTTCAATGTCGCAACCTAAAACCTTCGACAAATTTCATTTCCAGCCGACAAGGCTTTTGCCAAAGCATTTGAGACGAAGAGGGCCAACGAACTGTGCTTCGCGGAAAACAATTGCGAAGAGGTGGGCGTGCAGTTACGACCTGGGCCTTACTCATGCTTTTATATTAACGCTGCTGTTTCAGTCCGACTCCTCCAGCAGCGACTCCTCGACAGAGTCGAGTGTGAGTGGGTTTGGGTCGACAATGCGGGTTTCAGAAATCGCAAATATACTTTTCATATAAATACCAGCTCCATTTTTTTAAATTGTCTCTAACCATTCCTGGGCGTGAAAACCTTACAGCGGTAAATAGGTTTTGATCGACCTAAAATTACCAAATTTTCGGATTTTTGAAACAGTTTTCAAACTTTTTTGAAAGTTTTCTACTTAAAAACATCTGAAGTTTACTGTAAACAGTAACAGCACTTGTCTGCCTTCTTGACCCTGCTCAGGGTCACATGCCAAAATGACCGTGCGTTGCAGGACGAAGTGACAATTGCCGAGAAAGCGCCTGCTCGGCGCAAAGCTGCCGTCGTGCTCGAGGTATGTAACTGCACGGACTCCGGCGCTGCACTGTTTAGACGAGACTTCGATGCGCATTTAGCCTAGAACTCTGCCGGACACGACCGAATGCGCGTTTTCATACCGGCAAAAAACCCTAATAATTCTAGCGATCGACCTAAATACAACCAAGCGAAAACAAAAGCTTTATTGCAGGTCGATGCGAAGAAAAAGGACAATGCCGAAGACAAGCATTAGCCGCGCCAGCCCGAGGCGCCAAGCAAAAACCCCGGAGCCGCAACACTCGCCAATACCGACTTGTGATACCTATAAAACTGATTGTGATTGCCTTTTCTTTGTATTGCTACAGTTTATCCGATAAAATGCGTTTGGGAACTCAATTAGCACCGAATCTTCTAATCCCCGCTGGACAGCCTACTCCCCCCCACGGCCAAATGTTTCAACCATCCGAGGAGAAGCCCAATGGAGAAAAAGGAACGCCAAAAACTAGCCCTAAAGGTTCAAAAGTTCACCATAAAACTTTACGAAGTTTACCACAGCTCGGAGCAGCTGTGGACGATTTTTCCTGTGAAGATCCAGGGAAATAGTTTATTTCCGAATAATACACGGCTAATCTGGGAATTGAGCGTGGGAGTAAAAGAGTGAAAAACGTAGAAAAAACTTGGACCCGAGATAAGCTGTCAGGGACATGAAAAGAACAGAATTTTGAATCATTGAATTTTCAAAAAATGGAAAAGACGGAAGAAGATGTAAATACAAATTACTCATAATAGGCGACTTGTACGGCGGGATAGTCTTTCTCGGGACGAGGTCTTGTGACGCCGATGTACTCAAAATGGGCGGCGGCTGCGTAGATTAGTGTAGAAGGCGACTCGTCAACACTGCAAGTAGTTTACGTATAAAAGATAGGAAAGTATGGATTACCTGCAAGATCCCTCCTTCTTGAAAGTAGCGACCCATTCGCCAAGGCGTAGCTCTTTCTGCCCGTCAAATGACATCAATGTTTTATAAGCGAGGGCAAGCGGAACGGTCTCCTATTAAAAGTTACTAAACATTTCCTAGAAAATACCTCTGATTGAAGTAGAGAGGCTTCTATGAAGCGGGCTGGATCGGTAGATGAAACGACGGAGCCGGTAGGAAGCGAATCTACAACCAGCAGCCCGTCAACCTTCTCAAGCGGAACGAGGGCTTCTTGAAAGAGGTGCAGGAAAGCATCGCGCAATTTTTCAGATGCCTGAAGCAGCATTAATTGATTCTAGGAGCTGAAGTTACCTTCACGAGCGGACTTTCCGTTTTCACCAACTTCTTTGCCTCTCTTTGCCGTTGAAATTCAGCAAAAGTCATATTTTCAGGGCGTTTTGGCGTTTCTGCCGGCACCGATTGACTGGATTTGCTCTAAAAAACATTGGTATAATTCTAAAAAAGTACCTCTAAATGCAATCGTTGCCACTCCGCGACCAATTTGCTCAACTCTGCAATCTCCGGCTCAAAACCATCTGCTCGAAGCGGCTCCAAAATGGTCAGCAATTCTTCAAACCGATCCGCCTTTTCACTTCTCAGCTTTTCGAGTAGTTCTCTGCAAATATGAAGTAAATAAAGCATTCTACGAGTCTGAGAGTATGACCTCGCTTCAAAGCCTCCACTTTGCAATTGAACATCGGCATGCACCCGCTTTAGCGATTTCTCGGAGAGCTTTGAATAGGCTTCACAGGCAGCTGCATATCTCTGGAGCTTAATCTGTGTGTCTTCCAACGATGTCTAAATAAAAATGAATGCTTCGGAACAACGATCACCAGCGGCTTGGCACCCATGCACACCTTGTGGATAACGGCATGACGAAGGGCATTTTTCAATAGATCGACCGATTTGTGCTCTACCTGAAGAGGATTGTGGCAATCAAAAACCTGCACAAACCATATAATTATCAAACGCCTCCTTCAACAGGCCCCCGGAAAGGAAGATCGCGTTCAGGTCGTGCTCAAAAGGGTTTCTCAAGTAGAGCAGTTCCTTCAAGAGCTTCTTTTGGAATCGCGACGTGATGTCCAACCTATATCACGGGCGTCATCCACAATGTGTAAAACTTACTTAAAAACCTCGACTTCTATCTCATCGAGCGAATCTTTGCTGCAGATTGAAGCGAGGTACATCGGACTAGTAGACAAGCAGATCAGGAATGCGACTTCCACGAGAAAATCTGTCAATCGCAGCAGCTTCAAGATCTTGTCGATAAGATCAAAGGGCAGCGATTCGGCTTGCCGGACGATGAGCACGCAGTTTTCCGTAATGTCCACTAGTTGATCAATCACTTCGCTAGCTTCGGAATCCGGGTTGATCTAAATTAAGGAATAGGGCTTTGATAGCGGATATACCATTATTGCGTTCGTCAGCCCATGTTCCGCCAGCGAGCTTCGGCACATCTCCACGACCGAAGCCGTGTCAGCTAGATGACATACGACGACTGCCGTTGGGTAGAGCACTAAAAAGCCACAATTTGAAAACCGGGTTGACAACATACCAATTTCCATGGCCTTATCGAAGACATTAGATAACCGCGCCTCATCTTTTTCTTTTTCCGGTCTTGCCAAATGTCCAACGATCCTCGACACCGGTTCGGAAAACAGATCACGGAGTTTCGTATCGACACATTCATCGAATTCAGCCAAGTATTGCTAAAAATATGGGTTCTGGACTGTTAGCGGGGGACTAGATTTTTCCCTGCGATTCTCTACTGCCCTCAACCAAATTAAAATTTTTGAGAGCATTTCAAAAAATCACCATTTTCGAAAATTTTTGACTTTTTGGTCAAAAGTGTAGGAACAATTACCAAAACGGTCAAAATTTTTGAGTTTTAAGAAGGCTTTTATAGCTTTCTAGCAATCAAAAACTACTAAAAAGACTGCACAAATACATAGTTCACCCACAGATGGGAAAACCAAAAGTGGTTCCCCCACCCGCTAACAGTCCAGAACCAAAATATGTGGGTTACGTGCAAAGAGAATACAGACCTTAACGTCGCCGATAACCTCATCCTCGTTGGCTCTCCGCTTCTTCTGCGCCACATCTCTCTTCTTTGGGAGAAACCGGATGCCGGCCTCCATTCTAAACGTTTTCTTGAACAAAATATAAACGTCTAACAAGTGAATATGAGAAATGGAAAACGAGACTGGCGTAAGCGATTAATGGGCAAATCGAAAAGCGGGACTGCGCGCCAACGCCTTTTCATGGCGTTGTGGAAAGGGATGCTCATGCCCAAAAAAGCACGAAAAACGTAACAGCAGTTAAATAACATAAATTTAAACCGTAACAGCGATATGTTCGTTATTTGGGGGCTTCTATCGAGATCGAGTACATGCGAGTTTGGGTAAAGGCTGGAGGTGACAAATTATGGGCCGGATTTCCATAGCTTTATCGTGCCACTAGATGGTGAAGAGGTGACGATGAGAGGCTCCGTGGGGTGACAATCAATGGCCAACACGACGCCTAAAAAGTAGTAATACAAAATTAGACACAAAATGCATGAAATAGCGGTTCGTTCGCATGATCGGGGGGGGGGGGGGTTAAACATAAATAGCCGTCGTGTTTCTAAACTGTTTTTACTATCCTTGAATGGAAAAAATTCACACAATTAAAAAAATACCAGGGTTGAAAAGCCGCTTCGCGACTTTTCAACCCTGGCCTCTCTTCGGGGTCCTTTGATACACGGGCACTTTGCATACTATAATTTGCATTAATTTTACGAATTACGTTAGGGATAGGCTAACCACAGGAATTACTTGAGCAACCGACTCGGAACCCAGCAAAGCCTAGAATGAGCCGAATTAATCCTCGTATGCAAATTAGTCTATTTCCATATGTTTTTAAATCGCTAAAATAAGGTATCAAACGTTATTTTAGTAAAAATCTGATCAGCGCGCAGTAATCTACGCCCTCGATTACCCCTAACCACTTTACTTCTGAACGATAAAATCCTCTTTCCTTCGAGTTATGGCTGGAACCCGGGTTTTTATGCAAAGTGTCCACACACACACACAGAAACTATTTTTTTATATATAGTAGGATAGATTTTTCCACCAAATTTCGATTTTTGAACATTTTTCAAGGTTTTTAGATAGTTTTCTAGGTAAAATCCAGTTGTATTTTACTAAAAACCCTATGAAAATACTTCGGATTAAGTGACTAGGCATTTATAGCATAATACAAAAGAATATTGATCCCCCGCTCCCTGGTAATGCGAAAGAACCGAAATAGCATAACAATTATAGGCAAAAAAATTCACCGTCATGTGCCTTGAAACGTTGCAAAATGGTGGTTGATTGAAGATCCCAAACAAGCACGTGCCCATCTTCCGAACCGGTGATAACCCACTAAAAATCGGGATGGCAAAGCAAAGGAGCTCCTTACCTTGCCTTTCGCTGAGAAATTGGCGCTAATGCAGAACGCCTCGTGCTTATGGCCCTTGTAGAACTTCTTGGGTCTGTTGTCATTCAATTCCCATATTTTCAGTGCACTATAAGCATAATGCGACGCCAAATGTATTGCATACCTGTTGAGGGAAGCAGAGAGGAGATATTTACCGTTGGAAGAAAAGCGGACGAAGGACACCGGTGGGTTTTCATCATCTAAAAAATGAAAATAGGGTAAAGGAGCGTGAAAATCTCCATTACCAACTATCGTTTTGACACATTGACGCATGGCGATGTCCCAAACGCGGATCAGACCATCGTAGCTTGATGAAGCAATGAGGTTGCCGGCCCTAAAAACTTTTTGGCGCTACTTAAGTTTGCTGGCCCCACTTATATATGACCACGAAAATGCGATTTAGTAAAAAAATTTAATTGAAATGTCGGGAAAATTCCATGTTACGGCGGTCGCGTAAAAGGAGCCTTTTTGTGGTTTTTTAATTAAATAATGGCCAAAGACGGGTTTATCATGAATAAAGTAAGCCAGTAGCATTGTCAGGCAAGGCGGGCCGTCGCTTCGGATGGGCTGCCGCTCCACTCTTTCGAAATCGGGGCGCCTGGCCGCTACGCGCGCCTCGGGCGCCCCGATTTCGAAACCCTGTACGAGCTCGCACCCATCCGAAGCGACTAGGCCCCGGGGTGGCAAGAAGCCTTATTTTTAGGAAAAAAAGCGGATGCAATCGCTCAGCCTCGTTGGAAAAAGCTTTTCCACTGATTTATAGGCCTCCCGCATCAAAACACCAGGTTGACCCCCTTTAAAAACTCAAACCAGAAAAATCGAAAATCAAGTGTTTTCTCCCCTCAAAATTCACGATTTCATTTTCGTGGGCTGGGATAGTGTTTTCCGTAATCAGCGCAAAAAACTGAACCAAAGAAATGAGGTTTTGGCCATTGATAAGTGGGGCCAGCAAACTTAAGTAGCGCCAACTTTTTTGTACGAATTAACGTTTCGCACCGATTAAATGATATAGCAGAGATAGGGTCGGCATGGGCCGGAAAGATCGCCACCGCTTTACCGCCCCTCGAATCCCAGAGCCGGACTGTCTCGTCGAACGAACCTAGAATTACGGATTTTAGCAGGAGTCAAACCCAAAAGCCTACCAGACGCGATCAGGTTGTTATCCGGGCTATAGGAGCAGCAGAAAACGTAGTTCTTGTGTCCTCTGAAGGTCTTGATCGCAGTTTTCGATGCCCAGTCCCACATCTAAAACGTTATTCTAGGGAAGCTCTCGGATCGGGCAATTAAAAAGGTGGATAAAACCACGAACCTTGATCGTTTTGTCGTCGCTGGCCGTGCAGATAAATCTGCTGTCGTTGCTCCACGACAGGTCATTGATGCCAAGCGAATGACCGGCCATCGTCGCGACCAGCTGACCACCTCCAACAGACCAAACGCGCAGCTATAAAAGGACATAACCCCGGGTCGCGACGAAAGAATAAGATAGACTAATATTTACCGTTTTATCCGGCGAAGCAGAAGCCATCAATGTCCCGTCGGGGCTAAACTTGACGCAGGAGATCGATTCCAGATGACCAGGAAGTTCTTTCCATAGCGCATAAGTGGGCAACGGCGTTGCATCATCTTCCTGAAGCGTTTGGTCGTTTCATAACGAACAAACGGTAAGAGTTTACCTTACCCCCCCCCCCCCACAGCCGATGGGTCTCAAAGTTGTCGGTATTTTCGCTGATTTTGTCGGGGTTATACTAAGAGTTTTAATTTTAGCCTACAATAATGTAAAAAAAAAGTTCTAGCAAAAACTTCCGGCTGGGGGGGGGGGGGGGTAAAGTAAACCGTAGCCGAACAAACTACCTTCGTCGCATTGGCATCTTCATCTTGCGTGGCGCGAACAGCCACCATATCCAACATATACAACGCGCAACTAAAATAAAAGTAAAATACAAGTTTTATAATTCCAATAAGTTGTAAAACACGAGATTTATCAAGAAACTGTCGTAAACGGCTGTCAGGCCCCAAAAAACTCAATCTGCGCGGATACAAATCTGCAAAAAAAAAAGAAAGGATTGAGCAGAACACGCCCGAGAATTTTCAGACTCGCAAAAGTGAAAGCCAGGCATTGAAAATTATGAGAAGGACGTTTTGGCAAAGCGTAAAAACCAAATTTTAGCCATCTTTCGTTTAAAAAAAGACCTAGAACTTGGTAAATTTGTCGTTTTTGCGGTTTCCCAACCCCTGCCACCTTTTTCGACCGTCATAATTTCAATCTGCGTTACAATCACAAGTTACAGGTCAGCCAAAGCGTCAAATCAAACGAAAATTTGACTTTCTGGGTCGGATTTTCCCGTCAAACCGCTTAAATTGTTCGAAATTAAGTTCAACCCGCCGAAAAGCACAGGAAAATCAAATTTGCAACGTTTCAGACCCTTTCAACGGGTATATGTGGTCTTCTAAGCAAATCTCAAAAGAGGAGCGCGTGAACGTTCGCATACTGCGAACGCCGCCCATCGGCGTGGAGGAACGCGGAAAATTACCTTGCAAAAGGGCAGCAATTCCGCGAGCCAACGAAAAATGCGAGAGGAGAAAAAAAAAAGAAAATTTCCCGGCTACGCCGCGGCGCGGTTGCGCTGCGATTAGGGCAGTATCGTATTTGGCCGATTTACAAAGGGTAAATTTGACCTGCGAGTTTTCTGCTAGAATTTCGGGGAATTGAAAGGAGATTTTCGGAAGTTACTCGGTTAGTAAAGCGCCCGCGGGCGCGCCCGAAATTGCGCCCGCGGGCGCGCTCACGGGCGCGCCCTCGGGCGCAATGGCCAAAAGCGCCCGCGGGCGCGCCCGAAACTCGAAAGCGCCCGCGGGCGCGCCCCAATCGCGTTGTAACGGCGTAGGACGGGTTCTTTTAATGCTTTTATTATTAAAAAAAGGGCACTACATCGCTTTTGACGATGCTGTACCCTATACTTAATGTAGATCTTCACGTTCCCTGAGAAGTTGGTTGTATTGCGCGCCTGAAATATGTTTTTTTTTTGCTTTCTTGGCTTCAGCTTCGTTTGGAACTTACAGATACGTTCGAATGCGCGATAGACGGCCCCTAAAAATGTAGCTAATTACCTAAATTACCTAATTTCTTTTATAAACTTTATAATTCGCACTTACTTTCTTCCCGCTTCCTGAAAACTTGCTTTGATTTGCTTCTTGCCGACTTACTTTGCAACCCCGCGCCAGAGATACCGGAAACGTCGCGCTTCCCATTTGCAATGATGACCAAGATCGTCTGAAAGGTTGGCTTATATAAATCGAGAATCTAAATCTAAAGTATTTTTAAAGTTTTTTGAAGGGACTGGTTGCGTAGCAAAACTTTACCTTCTTTACCTGCGCCATGGCACTTCAAAGTATCGTATTCTACATTCGACGACCATAACCAAGCGAACCTAGTAACGTATTTGTTAATTTATATATGTTTTGAACATAAATAAGTGCATAATCCAGGAACTTAGCCGTTTTTTCGCAGAATTGAAAGGTGTTCACCATTCAAATGCGCCCGCGGGCGCGCCCCTAGTTGCGCCCATGGGCGCTTTTTGCGCCCGGGGCGGTTTTGCGCCCTTTTGCAAAAATTGCGCCCGGGGCGCAAAAGGGTCCAGTTCGGGCGCGCTCGCGGGCGCTTTGGGTTTTCGGGCGCGCCCGCGGGCGCTTTGCTAACCGAGTAGTCCTGCTGGCAAAATTGATGAAGGGATGGATTTTTCGCAAATTTATTGTGTATTACCTTTCCTTTGTTGGGTTCGCACAATGCATCAGCTAATTCCTTTTTTTTAGAAGACCGTCGGCAAAACAGAGAAGGAACGAGTGAACGGATCGGAAAGAAAATAAAGGAAAGAGAAGGAAGAAGCGCGGACAGAGAACGACGGAAGCGGTGAACGAACATGGAGCTCGACCCGACCTTCTACAACCTACCACATCCAGCCCTCTGGACCCTTTTTGAAAACGCGGACGCAAAATCGCTGATGAAGCTGCTGAAATCAGATGAGCGACTCTTCATGGCCGCGACAACATGGCCGCAGAAACGGTTTGGAGTAATAACTTGTGTGGCCCACAAGCCGCGGGCCCGCGAGATAGCTTTCCAAACCACTCGTGCGGAGGCCCTGCTTCTCCATGCGCACGTTAATTGCTTGGAATATGACTCCAGGGCCCGACCTCCGGGGGTCGAACCGAAGAGTTTGCAGTGTTTGAAGGTGCTCCGAACGGACAACCCAAACAACATTGCCTACGTGATCATGGCGACGCGACCCTTACGAATCCTAGCGGATAATATTTGGCGCCATATGACCCCACAGCTCCGAGACGCCCTCTCCACAGCCAAGCAAATCTCACTTGGCCACGTAGAAGACCCGGATGTGCTCCATTTTTTTTTTGGAAAATCCATTTGATGATTTTGCTTTGACCTGGCGACACCGCAACGACAACGATCTGGCCAGTCTTTTCAATTTGGTACAAAGGGTATTGGAGCGCCGACACGAAACGACGCAGTTCTTGGTCAATTTCCGCCCGCCGCTCGATGAAAGTCACTTCAACCCCAATATATTTGGCCCCGCCTACCCGCTGGCGCGAGATGAAGGTGTCTGGACGTGGGTCGATTTACGGAACGGGCTCGAGCTCAAGCGACTCCTTATTGGTCCGAATGCCCTTTCATTTCGATACTGAAAATTTTGGTGTTTAAAATCTTGCTACGCTAATCATTGATAGCTCCATTTTCTTTTAACATTGCTATCATTTATCGGTCTTTTGATGATCTATTTGAATTGGAAAAACCTGGATCTATACGCTGTCTTTTCCGTTCGCTCATCCACTTATTGTCATTTCATGCCTTTCAATAAAATGTTTTTTTCCAGGCTGAAAGAGGACGCAGTAGCTGCCGTGGAGTTCAAGCTTTCGCCATGCCATGTATAGTCGACCAGCCGTCCGATCAGTGCGCGTTAGCGGTTAGTCACCGAACGCTCCACTTCTCTGCCGACTTTTTTTAGGTTTTCGACAGCCTCCACAGCGACAACGTCCCCGGAACTCTTGGGTCACGCCAAGCGGATGTTCACCTGTGCGCCAGCTATTGGCAGGCTTGGCAATGGGCCGGCCAGCCAGCCCATTTTTCTCGGCCCGGCCCGGGCCAGCCCGTGATTTTGGGTACATTTTTGCCAAACCAGCATATACCATCCTTTAATTTTTCCGGAGTCACAAAAACGTATTAGATCAAGTCCGTTAATCGTCTATAGGCTTGCACAACGCATTTAGGTATAGTATGTAATAGACCTAACTAGGGGGGTTGGGAGGGGAATATTTTTCAGCGATTTTGACCCTCAATTCGTGTTTCCCGAGTGTTTTTTAGCAATTCTAACCGGTTTCCACCGGTTTTTTTGTCGGTATTATGGTTAGCAAGCACCAATAGTTGTCCTACAATCTTTACAGCACAAATTTATAAGGTTTCGATAAGTTTTTACAGTTTTTTTGCACCAAAATTGCCCTAAAAATTGAGTTTTTGGGGTTGTTGACCGCATCTGAATGGTTATTTAGATTTTCGAGTCAGGTGAATCATTTATAAACCACATCTGAGCCCAAAAACCGCGTTATTTGACTAATTGCGCCAACAAACTAATGGTGCGCCAAATCCGCCTTCAGCTAGGCCTTTCGAATTCGAATTACCAAGACCAGGATTTCTTATCATGCTCATCCGATAAATTCAAAAAATGTCTCTGTGCCCTGACCCTGGACATCTGCGAATTTGGAGAATAGCGGTGCCCTGAAGCGGATGCGCAGATGGCACCGGGGGCTCATGGAACACGGCCTGACGTCCTTGATGCGAACCCCGTAGGGTATTTCCGAAGCATCTATTAGTGTGTGAAAAGCCAGGGGCCGGGGATGGGAACAGAGAGAGCAGATGCCAGATGTACACCTCAACTTTCAGTCGCTCCACAGTCACCAAAATCGCCAATCAGCTTCTCATTTCTTTTTTTGTTAGATCTTGTTATATGGTTTGTTTCACTTGTTCATAGATTTCTCTCCCATTATCTCTCCCCCTCCCTCTCTCTCTCTCGCTATCTCTCTCTCTCTCTCTCTCTCTTCTCTATCTCTCTCTCTCTCGCTCGCTCTCTTTAATCAATTTTTTAGGCACCGCGAAAAGAAAACCTGATATGGCTACGAAGGGAAAGGAAATTCTCCACTTCCCTTATGCCAAATTGGGAGACGATTTGCAGTATCTCGTAAACCGCCACGTCAATATGAACACCAAGCGGAAACTGCGAAAAGTGAGCAAGGTTAGTGGGGAGGGTGAGAATAGCTCGAAAACATTACACCACGAAATGCCCGCTATTGAGTGATATTTCAGGTGATTTCCAAGCACTCGGTCAGCTCGCTGCTCCTCAACTGCCAATTTCCGAGGCTACGTCTACACGTGACTGTAAGTTCGTGTATCTCTTTCACTCACTCTCTCTCTCACTCTCTCTCTCACTCTCTCAATCCCGCTCTCTCTCACTCTCTCTCTCCAATCCGTCCCCAATTTCAGACATCTTCCTTATCCTCCCTCCCGGGCATCGAATTGTCAATGTTCTTCGATGAGCATCAGGAGTTTCCGGATATTTGGCCGACATTTCATGTGACAATCCGGGTCGACAACAACAACAACATCATCTGCCCTGATTTCTTGTTTGTCGCACGTCGTAATGTCTTCCGATGGCCAGCATGGCACGAGAAGAGACACATGTAGGTAGCTTTGCTTCAGCCGAAAGTGAAATTAAAAAGTTGAAGTTAAAACTACAGGGTGGCCCCAAAAGAGACCCCCTCTATCGGTCCGCAGTAATGTCCGATTTTGATCTCGATCTAAGATAGAGATCAAATCGGACAGATACCTCAGCTCGTCGAGAGGTATCTATCGATAGCTCTCGACGAGCTGAGGACATATCTTCTTTCCGATTTTCGAAATTCCCGAATTTTTGTGACATTTACTAACATTTTGCGAAATTGGCTGAATTTTCGATGCTTTTCCCTTGCAAGTGTTTTTAACAAAAACCTAATTTTCCAAATTTTTGCATGTTTACTGGTAGCCCAAGGTCGTTTTTCAAGACCTTTGAGAAAACACGGCTTGGGTCGGACTAAAGCCGATTAAATTGAGTTTTTGCACAAAATGGCGTAATTTACGCCCAATAAAACCGATGAAAATAGGGTTAAAAATTCGGGATTTAAAAAATCGGAGAGCACATCTCGGCTCAGCTCCGCGAGAGCTTTCGGTAGATACGTAACTTGTCAAAATCAGACATCACTGCGGGCCGCTATAGGGGATTTGTTTTTGGACACCTTGTACATCCAAAGCAGCAACACTTACTCAATTCCCTTCGACTCGAAATTACAGGATCCCCGCTGGCCGCGCCGTTCATATACAGCTGCTCAACAAGCTAACAGCCTGCCTGCAGAATGCCGAATTACAGCTCGTTATCAATCCGGCGGTCCAGGTAGGGCACGTTTCCAATGGGTCGGTTGACACGTTCTCGTGGTAGACGTCCGAAGGAGCCATGTTTCGATTCTGGACTATTAGCGGGGGGGCGGGGGCGGGCGATTTTTAGCAGTTTTAGTCGTTTTTGATTGCAAGAAAGTCATAAAAAAATATTTTTACAAATTTGGAAAATTCGAAAATTTTGACCATTTGACCGGTCATTTTTCATACATTTTTGCCCAAAAAGTCCAAAATTTTCGAAAATTCACTATTATATTTATAGTGTTTCTATATCTAAAAACGGTGTAAAATGCTTTATGAATAGTTTGATTTTTGTTATATTTTTCCCCTGCTAACAGTCGAGAACCGATTTTTTTTTAGGGCACCTAGTCGGTTTCGGACAGCGGCACTAACCGGTTCTTCCCTTTTAACGGGGCGGGGGGGGGGTTATTGACCAACTGCTTTTTGTGTTTTAAAAATCGCCAAAACGAAAAAATTTTAGGTGTATTTTTGATTATTTACTGTTAAGCAATACTGCAAAAAAACCCTCAAGCGGGTCCACAACACTTTGCACGGTTTTAGCCGCCCGACTGGCTGCGTGATATTCATCTGATGGACCGGGGCAACGTGACAATCTATTCGGATATTGGGCGAGAAGCGCCAGCTGTAGACAGGTATGGTCCATCCGGGGGTTGCTTCTTCACGTTTTAAGGGGCTCAGAAGTCAAAATTCGCGTGTGCGGCGATTGAACCTACTGGTCAAAAACGAAGGGTCATCACCGCCGAAAAGCGCCAGAAAATTGATTTTGTTCTGAAAAAAAGCAAAATATTTGAGAAAAACAGAAAAGTTTTCGCGGCCAAAACGACTTTTTGAGTGGGCGGCGATTACATGTCGTAATTCCTTGTATGGCGCCCAATCAGTCGACCGGGGCAAAAGCTCATGCGGCGCGGTCATATCTGTTTGCCGCATCAAAGCGGAGGGCCGTGGACCACATTTCGGAGCCCCTTTAAAGGGGTGGTGGTAAAGCTTCGGTTTCTCCGCCTATGCCTACCTACCTTTTCCCCTTGCAAGGAAATCGGACACTGAAAGATGTTCTCTTTTGCAGGTACCTACGTTTGGACAGGCTGCTGCCGACGACTATTCAACCAGATCGCGTAAGTCTGACTACGCTAGCGGCCCCGGCACTGCTGGACTATTACAGGGTGTCCCAAAAAAATCGTCCCCTCTCCCTATAGGATTCACATCGGAAATCGGCGTGAGGTATCTATTAAATTCGCTAAATCCTACTATATATAAACAAAAATAGTTCCTGTGTGTGTGCGTGCGTGCGTGCGTGCGTGCGTGCGTGCGTGCGTGCGTGCGCATTTGCATGCAACTTCCGTCAGCGTGTTCCAGTAGAATCTCAAGAAGGGGGTGTTTAGAGGCATGTTTATGCCTCATTAGGTGCGTAATGGCCTGGAGATGACTGCACACATATTAGATTTTACAAAACAGGATGTTTTCGACATTAAAATTAAATTTTTCATGGAAAATCGGACACACCAATTTGTTAGGAAAAAATTAGCATACGCCGGAAGCTGAGGAAGCCTATATAAGAGAAGAGAGGTTGCGTTTCTCATTTTTTGTCATCGAAAGTCGCGTGAATTAGGCAAAGTGAAGAATATCATTGGATATGACCGGGCCAGGGTTGAAAAGTCGCGAAGCGGCTTTTCAACCCTGGTTTAGGACCAAAATCGATGAAAACTGCAATTTTATGCAAAATCAGCATGCTAATTGCTTGCTAAAGCAAATAGGACGACGCTGATTCTGCTATTTTTTTTTTGAGAAATCGTTGAATATCGGGTGCGGGCTAACAAATTTTGTAAAACGAAAAACGCTTGTTTTCTCGCCTTTCCGAGTGCGTTCGAATGGTGTAAAAATCATCCCGATCCGAGCTTTCTCGGGCCGCTG